TTGATCATTTGGAGCTTCATTACGCGGTACAGCCCCAGAAGAAGAAGGCAAATGCTGCTGGAACAAACCCACAAACCTCTGATGATCAAGTAAAATCTGACCATCAGATTCCTGCATCTGGTCAATCTTCCTCTTCATGTTTGTCGCATAGCTATGTGCGAGCTTATGCAACTGTTTATTCTCCTGCTTGAGCCCTCTAATCTCCTGTTTGAGACTCATCACTTCAGCCGCCAATGATTCAACGTGACGGGTTCGAGCAAATAGGCGTTGGGCCATATTAGACACAGAACCTGCACACTGCACACTGAGAGCCAGAGAATCCTTAACAGCTAACTCATCAGACCGTTTGGAAAGTAGTCTGTTATCTTTGGGAGTGACAAGGTTCCGGGCCACCACCGCAGCGGTCATATCATTCTTCATCACCGAATCCCCAACAGTAAGAGGACCAGTAGGGGATATGAATGATGGGCGCCATATGTTATCTGGAGAAGACGGGACTACCTCTTCACCAAGGTTCAAATCAAAACGACGGTCGGAGGGTCCAGACATTTTCAAAGTATTGAAGGAAGAAGAGATTGGACAAATCAAAACCTTAGAAGTACAAGAGGGGAGTTTTCACAAGTGAAAATTCAAGTGTGCTTTGAAACGAACTGCATGCCTCTATAAAAAATCAGCACTCGACAGGATTTCAGAGATCGAAGAGGCGAGCTCAGAATTCGAAGAGGCCGTTCAAAAATCGAAGAGGCAAGCTCAGAAATCGGAGAAGCATCTTGCTTTTCCAGACGCGTCGGCACCCGTCACACGCAAACTCAGCTTTGCGAAAATCACGGGCAATTTGTCAAAGCGCCGATCCCAGATATCGAAGAGGCGCCAGTCTTTTTCAGCCGCGTCATCACCTGTCATATGCACACTCAACTTTGCGCAAATTACGGACAATTTGTCGAAGATTTCTGATAAAGAAGAAAGCACGTGAAGCCATATTGATCAATCACGCATTGGTTGCTGACACGAGTGAAAGAACAGTACCTCTATAGGTATTAAGGAACTCCCTATAACTGTCCACATTCACCATCCGTAGCGAGGCAGACATACAGAACCTTTCTTCATCTCCGAGAAGGCCTTCCCAACGAAGCCTCCCGAGTCATTCAGTGTTCCTCATTCATTGGGGTACCTCGGCAAACAAATGACACCAAAGCAAAAGTATCTCATATCACCAGGGTAGAAAGCAAAAGTATCTCATATCATGCGTTCTCCCTGTCCTTTCCTTTGTCCTTGTTCTTACCTACAAAGACAAGGATAAGGAAAACAATATGCCGGAACCTCCACTCAAACTCGGGTAAAGAACCGACTGCTTGGAGCCCTTCCCTGATTGCCTACCTAGCACTGCTATCGAGTACTCGTCTCCCACTGCTGCTGTACTTCCAAAGAAGCTGCCACATCTGCCTGAAGAACAGATAAGGCAAGTGAAAATGATACCTTGAAGCATGTGGAGACAAGTGCAACCAAGCACGTGCTGATTCATCCGCTACTTCGTCAAAATCAAAAGTATCTCATATCATCAGGGTGCAATCACTATGGACGGTGGACTCGTTTTGACCCTCAAATTCTTGGGTCGACTTGCTAGGCGTTGTGGGCTGCATGTGCCGTTTCACCACTGTTGAGTCAAATCCTTAAAGATCAAGTCACCAACTGGAAGAAGAGCCCATTAATCTTGAAGATCATACCGCTGACCAAACTGCTCAAGTGTGAATTAGAAAGATTGAACAAAGCAACAAGTCGCCACCTTCACCTCGTGCCTGCTTACAATATGTTCGAGTCAACCTTCAAGAATCAAGCCCCGACGACCCTTGAAGAAGTTTCCAGCCAATTTCAAGATCAAGCATCGACGGCCTTGAGGAAATCACAAGTCCGATTCAAGATTAAGTGTCTACCACCCTTGAATCAAAAACCTAGTTCAAGAATAAGCTGTGGAAAATCAATAATTGGAGGAATCCAGAAAAACCTCCAACCCAGTTTAAGATCAAAGCTGTGGAAAGTCAACAAGCGCAACAAAATACGTGCCGATTCACCCACTACCAAAGCCAAAGATCATCTACCACATGAAGCTCCTTGTGGTCCAATTTCAACCTTCAAGATCAAGTCTCGACGGCCCTTGAAGAAATTTCAAACAAAAGTTCAAGAACAAGCCTCAACGGCCCTTGAAGAAATCTCAAGCCCAATTCAAGATCAAGCCTCAACGGCCCTTGAAGAAATCTCCAGCCCAATTCAGGATCAAGCCTCGACGGCCCTTGGATCGACATCTACAGTAAGGGACTTCAAAACGCATCTCCTACACGCGACAATCACATGTACACGACGCGGCTTGAAGTGGGGGCATTTGTAGACATCGAAATTTCGGTAAATAAATGTTGACCGATAAATCAAAGTGTCAACGCTCATGTATTACATAAATTTTACACATAGCGTGCGACTCAACGAAAATTGAAACGAGTTGGAAAAGTCATCAAATAGGACACGTGTCAACACCTGGCAGAAACGACTTATTTCATCTGGGATATTATATTCAAAATTAGGCCTTGGAAAATGCTATAAATACAAGCCCATTTCATTCATTTAAGGGGACGAATTCATATTAGACCTTGAAGCTCTGAAGCTCTGAAACTCCGAAGCTCTCAAGCATCCAGGTTCCCGAAGAATCAAGAAAGCCTTCTTCATTCTTCGTTCATCGTTCTTTCAAGATCAAGCCCCGACGACCCTTGAAGAAAGCATCATCGTTCATCATCCGTTCATCCAAGATCAAGCCCCAACGGCCCTTTGGATCAACAACGTCGACAAATCCACACACATCCAACCGTTCTTCAAGATTAAGCCCAAAAGCCCTTGAAGATCTGTTCATCACTGTTCTTCAAGATCAAGCCCAAAACCCCTTGAAGATCCGTTCATCACTGTTCTTCAAGATCAAGCCCCAACGGCTCCTTGAAGATCCGCTCAAATCCACCTTCAAAGATCAAGCCCACGGCCCTTTGAAGAAACTTCCAACAGTTCATCCAAGATCAAGCATCAACGGCCCTTGGATCAACGAAACATCCACAAATACACACCTCACGGAGATCGAATCAGAAGATCAAGTTATAGAGAAATTGTAACCCAAAATCATCAAAAATACAAATATTTGTTTGTGCACGTTGTTCTTGTCTCTTTCGTTTCAGGAATTTTCCGTGTTCACAATTTTATCTACTAAGATATTTGACCACTTACAATTGAGATTATGTTTAGTCATTCATATAAGTAAAGAAAATGATAATTCATGTTAAGTGTTCTCTTATCCATTTGTTAAATATATATGAATAACTAACAAGTTTTCAATTTAATAGATTTAAAAAAAATTGTTAGATGATTCAAAAAATATATGGATGTTATCTCTTAGAGTAATGATACACTTACCATACCATCTACTTGTACTATCTATTTAATGGAGGGTAAGATCCTGCCAACTCATGTAGGTTTCATCTTTATTAAATAAATTGTACAAATAAATAGTAAGAATAACATTTTTATATCTCTTATTGTTTATCTAAAACACTTTTCTTATTCCTTTTCTCCTATTTCAGTCAGCCAAAAAAAGGCAACAAAAGCTTGTTTGGCAGTGCTAAATTTTAGTGGTGCACAAAGATTTGGCCACTCTAACCCTTATAATATGAAGCCTTTTATTTGTCTTCGTGCATGCATGTTTCTCTTGGCCAATAAAATTAATGTTAACAAATTAGGTAAAGGGTATAGGTCAGACCCAACAAAAAGGATCTTAACCTTCGAAGGAACAAAATGTTCATTCCTTAATCCGAATCTTAGTTGTGTTACTAAATTTGTTGCAAATTAATTGACGAAAAAGAAAGAAAATCATCGCCGAGTATGGAAGAAAATCTTTTGAAATATCAGCCTAGTGGAGATTATGAGCCAAATGTTGTAATTAGATTGTGCTTAAAAACAAAACAAACTTTGTAAAAACCATTAGGTTGGTTTTTACCAAAAATGTCATGAAGGTAAAACAACTTTTGCTTCCTTTGAAAGATAAAAAGCAATTATTAATATTTTATACATGAACAATTGAACAGAGTCATTGTCTAAACCAACGAGGTAAAGACAACCTCAAAATTAATCAATTTTACCACTTATACGACAGGAAAACTAATGAAAATGACTTAAAAACTTTGAATTTTATTGATAAGAACAAAATAAAGGGTAAAGTGAATAGTACCATGATTGATTTTTTAATGTAAAATGTGGTTTTTCGTTAAAATGAACAGTACCGGGAGCTTTTCATTAAAGTTACCCTTAAACGACGTGGTGACATGTCGTTTATTCCAAAGTAAACAGTAGACCATCTTCTACCAAATGAGGATCAAATGACTCCTTTTAGACCTATAGCTCTACAAGAAATTATATTTTAATGAACAACGCTAGGCCATATTTTACACCATCTCCAACCGAGGAAGCCAAAAGGCCATAGGCCAAACATAGTCATTTGACAAAAAATCATCTACAACCGAGGGGGCAAAGGGTCATAAGCCAAACATAATTTATTATTTTAATTAAATTAATATGGTTAATTAAATTAAACTGCCATATTAAAATAAAATTTTTGGACATATTTTAAGTGTCACTTGTCGCCAAATGAATAAGTCTTCGAATTTTTTATCTTTATATAATCTCAATAATTTTTTGAATATGATTTCGAGTGACACGTGTCGCTAACGTGAGTAACTCTCCAGATTTTTTATCTTTATGTAATCTCAATAATTTTTCTGATAGGATTTCGAGTAACACGTGTCGCTAAAGTGAGTAACTATCCAGATTTCTTATATTTATGTAATATTAATAATATTTCAAATAGAATTTCAAGTGCCACTTGTTGAGATGTAATTGATTGTACAAATTTTAGATATGATTCTTATCTACCTTGTACTTTTTATCTTCGGCTTTAAATGTGGTAAGAATGGTGAAGGTATTTGTAGGACCGAGCGATGCTTTTACCCAGACTTGCAACTAGTTCGTCGTTTAACAAAATCATAACTGTATCTCTATAACAAAATTCCTGTCACATTCCAGCAGCGCCAAATCTTGGATCAAGATTCAATCAACACACACAGAGACTGAAGGTTGAAGAAGTAGAGTAGGAATGGAGGTGGACGACGTGCCGCTGGACGAGAAGGCGAAGAGGATGAGGGATCTGCTGTCGAGCTTTCTACTCCCCTGACCCTTCGATGTCGTCTCCCAACTCTAATTCCTCGTCCAAGTGCGGCACTCTCGACGCCATCAACTCCACCTCTTTCGATCCCGACCAGTACATGCATCTCCTTGTACAATCTCCAACTCTTATGTTTTACCAAATACATGACTGATTCACTGGTAGTAATTAGGGCAGATTTAGGGTTGAATTGGAAGGCTGTGTCGTGAAATTTATGTTATTTACGTCGTAGCGAAGTTTGTAGAGGCGAAAAAATGGAATTAGTGGCTGCTCAAATAAAATGTCATCAAGTTGTTTTGAATTGAGCTGGGAATTTAGTGGAGTGGAACGAAACCATTGGTTTTCGTAATACAATTGGAAATGAAATTCGGTTAGGAATTTATCCGATAAGTTGATTGCGCATGATTTGTGGCATTTGTAATTTGAATTTTGAATGATCATAATATGCTCATTTTGTTATCGAATATGAGGCAGATATTCGAACTTTGAATCAGCATTGTGAGTTGTATGAACTTTGCAGGTACACAGGTCAAACTTGGAAGGGCTTCTACAGAGACACGTTGAAATGGCTGCTGAGATAAAGAATCTTGATACTGACTTACAAATGTTAGTACGAGAACTACAACAAGTTTATTAGCGTGACAGATACTATTAAACAGTAAATCTTTATTTTTATTGATTTGTTTACTTTTACATGTCGATGAAATCTCTGCTAATACGGGCCATATAACATTTATTGTGTTTTGGCTTGTATATAATTTAACAAAAAATCTCTTATGTCGTCAAATTCAATTCGGCCAATCTTATATGATTTTTCCATCAGAATGAAAAGTAATATTGTGGGCATGGAGGCAAACATGGAACAGCTCCTTGAGAAGGTACGCTCAATTGTTTTTTCTTTAACCCAGGCTCGCTGAAGCTGTATTTTTGTTTCAAAGGAAAAAGAAGGAAAAAAGGAGTCTACTAGTAGCTTACTTTCACATTGGCAATGATTGCAGATAATGTCTGTGCGATCTAGAAGTGCTGGGGTTAACACTCGTCTTTTTGAGAAGAGGGAACACGCAACCTTCTTCGTAAAATTCTGGTTGTTAGCAATATTTGTTGTGGTATTTATAAAAGCACTTGCTGTGATGTTTGTGGGGCTTAAAACAACTCAAACATTTTTCAAGCAAATTCTTCACGGCATCCTGCATGCCCCCATGTCGTTTTTCGATACTTCACCAATTTTGGAAGAATTCTGAGTAGGGTAAGCTTTTGTCATACTTGATGTTAACTGATGAGGATTTTTCTGTCCATCAGGCATCAACTGATCAGACGAATATCGATCGACTTCTTCCCTTCATGTTGGGAATTACCATTGCCATGTTCTTTACTGTGCTTGCCATCTTTATCATCGTATGCCAATATTCATGTCCCACTGTATTCTTGCTGATTCCGCTTGCTTGGCTTAAAGTCTGTTATCGGGTATGTTCGTTCATTTTGTTACGGTGTTAATATTTATCAGTAACCTGTAACTATAATGTTGCACTCAATGCTGAAGACTTTTGTACTTATTCTATTTTAGGGTTATTTTCTTGCATCGTCTCGAGAGTTAACTTGACTCGATTCAATCACGAAAGCTCCTGTAATCCATCATTTCTCAGAAAGCATATTAGGGGTCATGACAATTCGCTCTTTCAGAATGCAAAACATGTTCTCCAAGGAAAACATTAAACGAGTTAATGCCAACTTGCGTATGGATTTCCACAACTATGGGTCCAATGAGTGATTGGGTTTCCGATTGGAGATGCCTGGGAGTTTACTTTTCTGCATTTCCACTATGTTCATGATCTTGTTGCCAAGCAGTATTATAAAGCCAGGTATTTAAACCTTCCCGATCCTTCTTGTTTTAGTTCATTATTATTATAATGTCAGATCGAGTCTCGGCTATAAGCAAGATTTGAGGAGTGTTAGCATCGTGTTTTGATATATCTAACATAAATGAGCGACAGTGGATGATTGTTTGTTGCACAGATTTGACTAAACCGGTTTTTCCTTTATGGTGCAGAGAATGTTGGTTTAACTGTCTCCTACGGACTGTCCCTTAATGGTGTGCTGTTCTGGGGTCATATATTTTAGCTGCGTCGTTGAAAATAGGATGGTGTCGGTTGAGAGGATATAACAGTTTACAAACATTCCATCAGAAGCATCATGGAAGCTTGTAGACCGTGTTCCTCCTCCAAATTGGCCTTCCCGTGGCCACTTTGAGCTCAAAGACTTGCAGGTCAGTTTGTCTTCAATTCTGTTTATAACTTCGACGGTTTGAATGCACGTTTTCATTAGTTGGTAGTCACCATTACTTTGTCTCAAGCTAATAGGGCTTGATTGTTGTAATGTTTAGTTTTTCAAGAAACATGCATGTAATTTACTAATCCACCGCAATCATAATAAATATTAATATTAGGAGTTAATTTTAGTGAAATTTGCAAATCAAATAATGTGGTTGTAGATAATTGAAATATAAATAAAGTGTATTATTGACACATCATTTATTTCGTAAATTTGATTTTTAAAATTTAGTCTCCTTAGCATACATACATATATATACATATATATATATATATAATATATGTATGCTCAAAACCGAAAGAGAGTTGTTAGACTAACCGCAGCCAGAGGGTTGTTGATCGTGGGATGAGCAACAGAGAATGACACCAACAGTTATTTTCATAATTTTGAATTTACGATGACCTTTTCTTCTTCCTTACCGTGGTCGTAAAAAAACTAATAGGACAAATCCACCTCCTTCACATAGCAAACCTTCTGCGTAAACCCACTGTTGATTGCCTTATGCTACATGAATATAAATCACAATTTGACAAATAAAAAGTTCATTAAAATTTTGAAGAAGAAGACAAAAAAAAAAAAATAAATAAATAAATAAAACCTTCCTCCATTGTACAAAATTTAGCAACGTATTCGACATGTACCACCACCACATCTATTCTTCTCATTCTACCAAGGTTAATTGTGAGCCACTAAACATTGTAATTTGTATAGTGAACAAAAATGTTGACTAATCCACTGCAATCATAATCAAAATAAAGAGTTGGTATTTGTATACAGACTATAACTATTCATGTACACACTAACAATAAAAAAGTCGAAACGTGATTGGAGCCCATACAAACTAAGAAATTGATCTGATAATTTAGGGTTTGAAGGAGCGGGTATTCTGACTCATAAACCTTGCTCGATTTCTCTAAGGCCCATTGTGCACGTACATGATTTTCAATGGCTGTAGGATCTCAATTGCAAGGCTGAAAATAAGTGGCAGGGTGAGCTCCCACCGAATCCCCAAAAACAATATTTGTGACACGAGTGATGATCAAGGGCATCCAAGGGTGCAACAAAGTAAATCAAAGAATATAATATTTGATGTAACAGAAAACCTTATAGTGCGAGTTGTGTTAATTTTTTCGGTTGTCCAGAAGATAATATGCTATCATATATTCATATATAAGACTAATTACATGAGTTTGCCACACTTGTTCAGGGTGTAATAAAATCTTGCATTTTGAAAAATATGCCTAAAGAATTCATTCGAAAACCCGAAAACAAAAAGATCGACAAACTTTCTCGTGTAAACTCACACAATGGTATGTGGATGCATGTAATGTACGTATATATTTTTTATTTTCTTATGCACCACCACGACATTTATTCTACCCGTAACTTGCATGACCAAGCTCGATTGCTAACCACTATTAGACTAGACATTATTGACACAAAATTCAATTTGTAAATTAAAATTTTCAAATTTAGCCTCCGTAGCACCATAAAAAGAATCCAACGAAAAAAGCCCAAAAAAAAAAATTTCCGCTTATAAAAAAGCCTTTACAGTTACATCATCACTCTCACGTCACTCCCTCTCTCACATCACTCCCTCTCTCACTCTCGCATCTTTTTTGTTTCAACCAAGCAACCCAGAATGGCGTTTCGTGCCGGTAGCATCGCTTACCTGTTAAGAAAATTGAAGGGTGTTGTAAGAGGCGGAAGTGGAGGCGGTGCCCCGGCCATGGCCCGAACACCGAATGTCAAGTTAGAACTTGACATTTCGGCGTCCCACTGAAAAGATGTCGTTCGGGTGACCGCCCACCCAAACAACTATCCGATAGCGAAGCAGCTGATGGCTGCTGCTCAGCCTGAGAGGACAGGGTTCATAGATTACCTTGCATAGCTTAACTTGGCCTTCACAACCGGAGAGCTGGTCTCGCCGAGTTTTTCTGAAGGCTAAGGAAAGCGGAGTCAATGAAACTGCAAAAGACATTTTGAACAATGAGGTGGAACAACAACTCCAGTATTTACTTCGGGAGGCTGAAAAAAACTCAGAGAACATGAAATACCTCACAGAGGTAGTGGAGTATGTTGCCAAACAGGCCTTACCAAAGGGAGTTCCTCCTCCTCCTGCTCGTCCTCCAGCATCGCCGAAGGAGGGAGCCAATGGCAAGAACGGTAACAACAAGTCGGAGGGCAATGGTGCCGGAGCAAACGGTGATCCTCCTGCCTGTCCTCAAGCATCGTCGAAGGAGGTAACCAATGGCAAGAACAGTAATGGCAAGTCGGAGGGCAATGGTGGCGGAGCAAACGATGATGGCGGGGATCTTCCGGAACCAGATGATTTTTTTGGAGGTTTTTTAGGAGGAAAAAGTTGGTAGTTTTTGCCGGAACGGTAACGGCGAGTCACTTGCTCTTTTTTGTTTTTTGTTTTTGTTTTTTTTGGTGAACAGAGCAAGTGACTCGCCGTTACCGTTCCGGCAGAAACTACCAACTTTTTCCTCCTAAAAAACCTTCAGAAAAACTATCTGGTTCCTGCAGATCCCTGCCATCACCGTTTGCTTCGCCATCATTGCCCTCCGACTTGCCGTTACTATTCTTGCCATTGGCTCCCTCCTTTGGCGATGCTTGAGGATAGGCAGGAGGATCATCGTTTGCTCCGGCACCATTGCCCTCCAACTTGCTGTTACCGTTCTTGCCTTGGCTCCCTCCTTCGGCAGTGCTGGAGGACGAGCAGGAGGAGGAGGAATTCCCTTTGGTAAGGAGTGTTTGGCAACATACTCCACTACCTCTGTGAGGTATTTCATGTTCTCTGAGTTTTTTTCAGCCTCCCGAAGCAAATACTGGAGTTGTTGTTCCACCTCATTGTTCAAAATGCCTTTTGCAGCTTCATTGACTCCGCTTACCTTAGCCTTCAGAAAAGCTCGACGAGCTTTCACGACCAGTTGTGAAGGCCAAGTTAAGCTATGCAAGGTGATCTATGAACCCTGTCCTCTCAGGCTGAGCAGCTACTTCGCTATCAGATAGTTGTTTGGGTGGGCGGTCACCCGAACGACATCTTTTCGGTGGGACGCCGAAATGTCAAGTTCTACCTTGACATTTGGTGTTCGGGCCATGGCTTGGGCTCCACTTCCGTCTCTTATAGCACCCTTCAATTTTCTTAACAGTTAAGCGATGCTACCAGCGCGGAACGCCATTCTGGGTTGCTTGGTTGAAACAGAAAAGATGTGAGAGGGAGTGACGTGAGAGTGATGATGTGACTGTAAAGGCTTTTTTATAAGTGAAATTTTTTTTTGGGCTTTTTTCGTTGGATTCTTTTTATGGTGCTAAGAAGGCTAAATTTTAAAATTGAATTTTGTGTCAATAATGTCTAGTCTAATAGTGGTTAGCAATCGAGCTTGGTCATGCAAGTTACGAGTAGAATAAATGTGGTGATGGTGCATAAGAAAATAAAAAATATATACGTACATTACATGCATCCACATACCATCGTGTCAGTTTATACGAGAAAGTTTGTCAATCTTTTTGTTTTCGGGTTTTCGAATGAATTCTTTAGGCATATTTTTCAAAATGCAAGACTTGTAGAACTCCGTAGATATGACCTACGTGGAACTCCTGCTGAAAACATTAATCTTCCACCAGCCCTTTTGTCAAGATTTGATCTTTCTTGGTTAATCCTGGATCGAGCAGATATGGATAGTGATCTTGAGATGGCTAGGCATGTTGTCTATGTCACCAGAATAAAGAATCTCCGGCTCTTGGCTTCACTCCACTTGAGCCATCTGTTATTCGGTAAATTTCACATCTTTTACCATGGAAAGCTCAGCAGTACTGATTTCAGGATATTCTCTTTTGTTTTAGTCTTTCTATTGATCACTTCTACATACGAACGAATATAAGTCTGTATAGAACTTGTAATTTGTAAAACTACCTAAATCTTTATTTTCAAGTCTGCTGATTGTGGGACTTTCTGATAAGATTCTTTTATTAATTTTTTTCAGGGCATATATTTCTGCGGTGAGAAGATTGTCTCCTTCAGTCCCACAGGAACTTGAGGAGTATATTACTAGTTCCTACTCTAGCATTCGGCAAGAAGAAGCTAAATCGAATGCACCCCACTCCTATACAACTGTGAGAACTCTGCTCAGCATTCTTCGAATATCGGCTGTAAGTCCTGCTTTTCATATTTTCGTTTATATAAATGCGGTTCCGTAAATATATGCTGTGTATCACAAAAGAATGAGATGGCAAGAAATGATACAGCAATATATGCTGTGCATAAAAAATTACCGAGGTGGCGAAATGGAATAGTTTCTAGCCATCTACATTGGCATAGGGTTTGGGGTGCAAGAATGATGTTCTGCCGTCTGCATATGTCGAAGTTCTCTTTGTGCTCAGATGATCGGCAGAAATCTGGTCTGGATCCTATCAGTGATATCTATTCAATTTTGCGAGATGAGTATGAGACGACTGGCAAGCAGGATGTGAGCTATGCAAATGCACTAAATCTGATTTCTAGGAAGGTTAGTTTTTGCAAAGCATCTTGTGATCGATGTTCAGAGATATGACTGAATGTCATCTGATGCCAAAATAACTGCACTGCTTATCATGTCAAACAACTAGTACAAAACTTGGAAGTGATAGGAATATAACTATATAAATCAGAGTAGTAGAAATTTAAAATATATATCTCAAAAAATGAAAATTCTTGGTATTCCTGTCCGAAATTCTATCTATTTCGTCTCAAGCCATGTGGAATGTGTGCCCTTAAAAATGAAAATGGCACACCTGTTTTGATTCCTTAAAATTTGTAATAATTTTTTGATGCGGTAAAAAAATTTCCATGGCACTCAAATTAAATTAATCACTTGTATATTTGTTCTTCACACACACTAGCCTAGTTACCATTAACGATGTATTCTGAGAAAGCTTCTTAAGATTCATATAAAACATTCCAAAGATGTTTAAGTAATTTTTTTTCATATTCCGACTTGAATTTTTTTTTCAATATAAAAAACTTACTAATATTTATCTTACTTGATAAATGATAAGACTGTTTTCAAATAGCCCATAACATTTTCCTTTGAAGGTATTATTGTAGATAATTTGGGTTTGTGATTGTGTAAATTCTAGATAGATTTGAATACTAGTTATTTTTAAAGGAAAACTAATGAAAAGGGCTTGAAAACTTTGAGTTTTAATGATAAGGACAAAATAAAGGGTAAAGTGAATAGTACCAGGATTGACTTTTTAGTGTAAAAATGTGGTTTTTCGTTAAAATGAACAGTACCGGATGCTTTTCGTTAAAGTTCCCTATTTTTAATCCTTTATGATTGTATTTACTTGGAGGACAAGTTAATGCTTTCCTTATCTTCTACTATAAAGTATAATTAAAGTCATTGTGTAGGGGAAACCGGCACAAAAGCGTTGAAGCCCAAGTGGGCTAACCCTGGATAAGGCCCAAAAAGAATGGGTTTGATTCGGGGCACCCAAGCTTTGCCGGGTGCGTGTGATCGCCGGAGTTAGCTAAACGGTGCCGCCACGTTTGTGGTGTTCTCAGGCAAGGCCGAGTCGGAGTGTAAGCAAAAACCTAGTCTTGCGGAGGTCTGCGAGTGCATAATCCAATTCTCAATTCACACAGAGGATAGAGAAGGAGAGGGAAGGAAGAGAGCAGAACAATAGTTATTGTTTATATTTTTGTGTGTAAATTTTGATATCACTACAATCCAAAGAGCAATGCTTTGTTCACAAAAAAAAAAAGAACAAAAAAGAGCAAGTGACTATTGCCAGCATTTCCAACAAATTTCCCAAATACCAAGTAAAAACCCTCCAACAGAAACTACCAATTTTTTCCTCCTAAAAAAAAACCTCCAGAAAAATCCTCCGGTCCGACAGATCCCTTCCGTCACCGTTTGCTCCACCACCGTTGCCCTCCGACTTGCCGTTACCGTTCTTGTCATTGGCTCCCTTCTTCGGCGGTGTTGGAGGACGGGCAGCAGGAGGAGGAGGAACTCCCTTTGGTAAGGAGTGTTTGGCAACATACTCCACTACCTCTGTGAGGTATTTCATGTTCTCTGAGTTTTTTTTAACCTCCTGAAGCAAATACTGGAGTCGTTCCTCCACTTCATTGTTCAATGAAGCTGGCATTTTGAACAATGAGGTGGAGGAACGACTCCAGTATTTGCTTCGGAAGGTTAAAAACAAACTCAGAGAACATGAAATACCTCACATAGGTAATGGAGTATGTTGCCGAACACTCCCTTCCAAAGGGAGTTCCTCCTCCTCCTGCCCGTCCTCCAGCACCACCGAAGGAGGGAGCCAATGACAAGAACAGTAATGGCAAGTCGGAGGGCAAGGGTGGAGGAGCAAACGACAAGGGTGGCAAAGCAAACGGTGACGGAGGGGATCTGCTGGAACCGGATGATTTTTCTGGAGTTTTTTTTTTTAGGAGCAAAAAGTTGGTAGTTTTTACTTGGTATTTGTTGGAAATGCTGGCAGTAGTCACTTGCTCTTTTTTTTGGTGAACGGAGCATTGCTCTTTGGTTTGTAGTGATATCAAAATTTACACACAAAAATATAAATAATAACTATTGCTCTGTTGTCTCTCTTCCTTCCCTCTCTCTCTGTGAGAATTGGATTCTGCACTCGCAGACCTCCGCAAGGCTGTGGGTTTTTGGTTACACCTCGACTTGGCCTCGCCTGAGAACACCACAAACGTGGCGGCGCTGTTTAGCTAACTCCGGCGATCACACGCACCCGGCAAAGCTTGGGTGCCCCGAATCAAACCCACTCTTTTTGGGCCTTGTCCAAGGTTAGCCCACTTGGGCTTCAACCCTTTTGGGCCTGTTTCCCCTACACAATAACTCTAATTATACTTTATAGTAGAAGATAAGGAAAGCATTAACTTGTCCTCCAAGTAAATACAATCATAAAAAATAACTAGTATTCAAATCTATCTAGGATTTACACAATCCCAAATTATCTACAATGGTACCTTCAAAGGAAAACGTTATGGGCTATTCAAAAACGATCTTATCATTTATCAAGTAAGATAAATATTAGTAAGTTTTTTATATTGAAAAAAATATTCAAGTTGGAATATGAAAAAAAATTACTTAAACATATTTGGAATGTTTTATATGAATCTTAAGAAGCTTTCTTAGAATACATCGTTAATGGTAACTAGGCGTGATTAATTTAATTTGAGTGCCATGGAAATTTTTTTACCGCATCATATAAATCTACGTAGGTTTTATCCTTTTAAATTTACCCATTTATCTGTGCTATACGATATGATCTAATTATCTCATCGTACATTTCGGAAAGTGATCCTCTCTGAATCTCTTCCACCAAGATCATCGGATCAAGTGATCCGGGCCTTCCAAATTTCATCTAACGGGAAAAATTTATTACAAATCTCGATTAGCAATTGAGTTGTGGATTATTGATTAGATTCAGTGGATAGAACACGATTTTGGACACGTCTTGTCCAACATGTATAGTTTTGTGTGTTTTTACCGTAGAATTAAGATGTAGGATATTGAATACGTGTTTCAAATATTTATGTATCAAATACGAAGAGATTTTTTTCACTGGGTGTGGAACGCGTGTGTCTTAGATCTCATTTAAATTAGGCCTCTTACCTTTCATCATTTATCGTATTGTTGATCAAGAAGAGGAAAAAAAATATTTACCATCACATCTATTTTTCTCATTCCACCAAGCTCGATCTTGAGACACTAAACATTGTAGTTTGGAGAGTGAACAAAAATGTTTACTAATCCACCGCAATCATAATCAAAATAAGGAGTTGGTATTTGTAGACATACTATAACTATTCATGTACACGCTAACTATAAAAAAGACGAAACGCAACTGGAGCCCATACAAACTAAGAAATTGATATGTTAACTTTGGGTTTGAAGGAGCGGGTATCTGACTTAGAAACATCAAACACGCCATTAAGAATTAATTATGACCTTGCTCGATTTCTCTAACTCTTTTGCCCATTGTGCACGTACATTTTCTATGGTCGTAGATCTCAATGGCAAGGCTGAAAATGAGTGGCCGAATGAGCTCCCATCGAATCCCGAAAACAACATTTGTGACACTGGAGTGATGAGTAGGGGAATCTAAGGGTACAACAAAGTGAATCAAATATGTAATATTTGATGTAACAGAAAACGTTATAGTGCGAATACAAATTGGTACATATAATTAGCATGGGTATATTTAGCAAAATAAAAAATAGGTACATATAAATAAAAATAAATATAGGTACAAATACAAATAAAACTTTATAAAATATAGGCACAAAAAGAAATTAATATATGGGTACAAATTAAAACTGAAAAGAAAATTAATACGGGTACAAACTAAAAATAAAATATATGATAAAAAATTTAGGTATAAATATAAATATACTAATTGTAACATTTTTAACATTAAATGAATATATTTACAAAATAAAAATATTTTATTATTGAAATAATTAATGATGTTACTAATATAAAGGATTTTGATCAAAAATTAAAAATGAATAAGGTTTTAATAAATGAAATAGCAAAAGGAAGGATAGACCTAATTTCTCATAAAAAAAATTGTTCTTAAAAAAATAAACATCTTTCTCTCACTAAAGGTCACATCTTTCTCTATTTTTCTCTTTAAAGGTCACATCTTTCCCTGGCTGACTCTCACCCAAGGTCTAAAATATCGATGATATCGAAAATATCGGTAGTCCAAAAATACGGAAATTTCGATGAAAATATCGAGATATTATCGATGTCGATAAAAATTGAATAAAAACCACGGAAATTGTAAGAAAAACTTGGAAATTTTTATTGAAACTTTGCAGGATGTTTATTTAGTCAATTATCTATCAGTTTATCACAAAAAATTGGAAGAAAATGCATTGCATGATGGATTTAACTGATTTAAGTTGATTATACAACGAGCTGTCAAACATTGTGAGTGTAGAAAATATGTAGTAATTAATGAAAGAAGTTTAAACACACCATAATCATTTATATATAATGAATTAGTACAATATTTTACACTTTATACATTGCATGATAAGATACATGAGTGACTTAGGCCCCGTTTGGGATTGAGGTGATTTTAAAAAAAGCCACTGTGAAAAAAAGCTGAGGGTCATTTTTGTGTTTGGTAAACTGAAAAAAAAGGGCTTATTTTGGAAGCTGCTGTGAGAATAAGCTGAAAATCAAAGGAAAAGCTGAAGCTGCTATTTGCTGCTTTGAAAAAAAGCCAGTTTTTTCAAAGCACACGGAGCTACAGTGCTCCTTTAATGAAAAGACACACTATCATCCTGCTTTTTTTTCCAAAAGCACTTTCACAAAAAAGTTTACCAAACACTCTACTGGCTTTATTTCACAGCCGCTTATTCTCACAGCACAGCCGCTTATTCTTACAGCAGCTTTTTTTCAAAGCACAGCAATACCAAACCAGCCCTTAGTACCACATAAAGTTCCTATCAAGGTCTACAATATCGATGATATCGGAAATATCAGTAGTTCAAAAACACGAAAATTTCGATGGAAATATCGGGATAATATCGATATTTTAGACCTTGTTCTCACCCAAGTTCTAAAATATCGATGATATCGGAAATATCAGTAGTTCAAAAATACGGAAATTTCGATGGAAATATCGCGATATTATCGATGTTGATAAAAATTGAATAAAAACCACGGAAAATGTAAGAAAAACTTGGAAATTTTTATTGAAACTTTGCAGGATGTTTATTTAGTCAATTATCTATTAGTTTATCACAAAATATTGAACGGAAATGCATTGCATGATGGATTTAACTGATTTAAGTTGATTATATAACGAGCTGGCAAACATTGTGAGTGTAGAAAATATGTAGTAATTAATTAAAGAATTTTAAACACACCATAATCATTTCTATATAATGAATTAGTACAATATTTTACACTTTATACATTGCATGGTAAGATACATGAGTGACTTAGTACCACATAAAGTTCCTATGAAGGTCTAAAATATCGGTAGTCCAAAAACAAGGAAATTTCGATCGAAATATTAAGATAATATCGATATTTTAGACCTTGTCTCACCAAAGGTCTAAAATATCGATGATATCGGAAATATCGGTAGTCCAAAAATACAGAAATTTCGATGGAAATATCGGGATATTATCGATGTTGATAAAAATTGAATAAAAACCACAAAAATTGTAAGAAAAACTTGGAAATTTTTATTGAAACTTTGCAGGATGTTTATTTAGTCAATTATCTATTAGTTTATCACAAAAAATTGGAAAGAAATGCATTGCATGATGGATTTAACTGATTTAAATTGATTATATAGCGAGTTGGCAAACATTGTGAGTGTAGAAAATATGTAGTAATTAATGAAAGAAGTTTAAACACACCATAATCATTTATATATAATGAATTAGTACAATATTTTACACTTTATACATTGCATGATAAGATACATGAGTGACTTAGTACCACATAAAGTTCCTATCAAGGTCTAAAATATCGATGATATCGGAAATATCGGTAGTCCAAAAACACGAAAATTTCGAAGGAAATATCGAGATAATATCGATATTTTAGACCATCACCTCACTCCCTCTCTCGCTCTGACTCTCACCTCAATCCCTCTCTCTCGCTCTGACTCTCACCTCACTCCCTCTCTCGCCCAATGTTTCGCTCCGCCGGTAGCGTGTCTCATATCTTTAAAAAACTCAAGGCTACTGTAAGAGGCGTAGGCGGAGGCGGTGCCTAAACACCGAATATTAAGGTAGAGCTTAACATTTCGGTGTCCCACCCGAAAAATGTCGTTCGAGTCACCTCCCACCCCGACAACTAGGAGATGGCGATGAGACTCGCAGCTGCTGCTCACCCTGTGAGGGTAGACTTCTTTGACCAGCTAGCCCAGTTCAATTTGATGGTTGCAACGGGAGAGTTTGCCATGAAAGTCAACCGAGTATTTGTCAAAGTTAAAAAAAGTGGCCTGAACGAAGCTGTGAAAGGCGTTGTGAAAGGTGATGTGTGCTCTTTCAAGACGAATGCCTGTCTGGATTACTTGCTTGCGGAATCCCAAACACACTTGCTCGAGATGAAATACATCACAGAAATGATCGAGCGTGTTGCAAAGTATTCTGGGTGTCCTCCTCCTCCCCGTCCTCCAGCATCGTCGTCAAAGGAGGAAGCCAAGTGCAATGGTGGCGGATCAAAAGTCAATGGTGGCGGAACAAACGATGATGGAGCAAAAGGCAATGGTGGCGGAGACGGAGGGATCCCCCGGTACCTGTTGATTTTTTTTTACTAAGTATTGACTGTCATTACCCTTACTTGTCCTGTGCTAAAAACCAAAAAAGTTGTTAGACTTGATCGTGAGCGGAGCATAGAGAGAATGACACCAACTGTCATTTTTGGGAAATTTGAATTTATGATGATCTTTTTTTTTTTGTATTTATTCTGATCAAGGTAAAATAACTGCAACTATAATAAGACAAATCCACCAACTCACTTTTGATTTCCTTATGCTACAAGAATAGAAATCACAATTTGACAAATAAAAAGTTCATTAAAATTTTGAAGAAGAAGAAAAAAAAAACAAAAAAAAAAAATCTTCCTCGGAATCGCTTAGGTACAGCAACGTATTCGACATGAATCACCATCACATCTATTTTTCTCATTCCACCAAGCTCGATCGTGAGACACTAAACATTGTAGTTTGGACAGTGAACAAAAATGTTTACTAATCCACCGCAATCATAATCAAACAAGGAGTTAGTATTTGTAGACATACTATAACTATTCATGTACACACTAACTATAAAAAAGACGAAACGCGACTGGAGCCCATACAAACTAATAAATTGATCAGTTAATTTTGGGTTTGAAGGAGCGGGTATTCTGACTCAGAAACATCAAACACGCCATTAAGAATTAATTATGACCTTGCTCGATTTCTCTAACTCTTTTGCCCATTGTGCACGTACATTTTCTATGGCTGTAGGATCTTAATGGCAAGGCTGAAAATGAGTGGTCGGATGAGCTCCCATTGAATCCCGAAAACAACATTTGCGACACTGGAGTGATGAATAGGGGAATCTAAGGGTACAACAAAGTGCATCAAAGAATGTAATATTTGATGTAACAGAAAACGTTATAGTGCGAATACAAATTGGTACATATAATTAGCATGGGTATATTTAGCAAAATAAAAAATTGGTACATATAAATAAAAATAAATATAGGTACAAATACAAATAAAACTTTATAAAATATAGGCACAAAAAGAAATTAATATATGGGTACAAATTAAAACTGAAAAGAAAAATTAATACGGGTACAAACTAAAAAATAAAATATATGATAAAAAATTTAGGTATAAATATAAAATATACTAATTGTAACATTTTTAACATTAAATGAATATATTTACAAAATAAAAATATTTTATTATTGAAATAATTAATGATGTTACTAATATAAAGGATTTTGATCAAAAATTAAAAATGAATAAGGTTTTAATAAATGAAATAGCAAAAGGAAGGATAGACCTAATTTCTCATAAAAAAAATTGTTCTTAAAAAAATAAACATCTTTCTCTCACTAAAGGTCACATCTTTCTCTATTTTTCTCTTTAAAGGTCACATCTTTCCCTGGCTGACTCTCACCCAAGGTCTAAAATATCGATGATATCGAAAATATCGGTAGTCCAAAAATACGGAAATTTCGATGAAAATATCGAGATATTATCGATGTCGATAAAAATTGAATAAAAACCACGTAAATTGTAAGAAAAACTTGGAAATTTTTATTGAAACTTTGCAGGATGTTTATTTAGTCAATTATCTATCAATTTATCAAAAACAATTGGAAGAAAATGCATTGCATGATGGATTTAACTTATTTAAGTTGATTATACAACGAGCTGTCAAACATTGTGAGTGTAGAAAATATGTAGTAATTAATGAAAGAAGTTTAAACACACCATAATCATTTATATATAATGAATTAGTACAATATTTTACACTTTATACATTGCATGGTAAGATACATGAGTGACTTAGTACCACATAAAGTTCCTATCAAGGTCTAAAATATCGATGATATCGGAAATATCAGTAGTTCAAAAACACGAAAATTTCGATGGAAATATCGGGATAATATCGATATTTTAGACCTTGTTCTCACCCAAGTTCTAAAATATCGATGATATCGGAAATA